TATCGATGAATTGGATGCGATTGCGCCGAAGAGGGAGAAGGTATTTTTTGTCGTTATTGTGTTTATTGTGTTTATTGTTGTTTAGTATTTTTATTATTGTTTATTATTTTTATTATTGTTAAAGTAATAGTTATGTAATAGTAATAGTAATAATAATAATAACAATAAATAATGCAGACTCACGGTGAAGTGGAACGTCGTATTGTATCGCAGCTGTTGACGTTGATGGATGGCCTGAAGCAGAGAAGTCACGTGGTGGTGATGGCCGCGACGAATCGACCGAACTCGATTGATCCGGCGTTGAGGAGGTGATTTTTGATTTGTTGTTATTGATTGTTATTGATTGGTTATTTGTGTTGTTTTTGTTATTTATTGTTGTTGTTTTTATTATTTATTGTGATAAATATTGAAGATTCGGACGGTTCGATCGCGAGATCGATATCGGAATTCCGGACTCGATTGGACGGTTGGAGATCCTGAGGATCCACACGAAGAATATGAAATTGAGCGATGACGTGGACTTGGAGCAGGTGAGAGGGTTTATTTATTTATTGATGTGTTTGTTTGATGGTGTTTTTGTTGTTTGTTATTGTTTTTAGTAATTAATTATTATTAGTAATTAATTATTGTTAATTGTAATTAAACGTAAAGGTAGCGAACGAGTGTCACGGCTACGTGGGTGCCGATCTGGCGTCGNTGTGCTCAGAGGCAGCACTGCAGCAAATCAGAGAGAAGATGGAGCTGATCGATCTCGAGGACGAGAATATCGATGCCGAGGTGTTGAATTCACTGGCAGTGACCATGGAGAACTTTAGAGTGAGTTATTTTTAGTATTATTGTTGTTGTGTTTTGTTATAGTTACTTTTTAGTTACTGTACAGTTGTTGTTACTGTAATAGTAAGTGTAATTTGGGTGAGTTTAGTTCGCAATGGGCAAGAGCAGTCCGTCAGCGCTGCGCGAGACGACGGTGGAGACGCCGAACGTGACGTGGGCGGATATCGGTGGTTTGCAGAATGTGAAGAGGGAGCTGCAGGAGCTGGTGCAGGTGCGGTTATTTGTTATTGTTTTGTTGTTATTATTGTTTATTTTTATTGTTATTGTTATTTATTATTGTTTGTTATTGTAAAAATAATGTTAATGTTTGTATA